TAATAAATGAAATTATAAGTAAGTATTATAAACTTATAACTTGAAATAAACTACTATAAATACATGTTATCGAGTTTTACTTTTAAGCTTGCAGTTTTATTACATTTATATTTAAAAAAGTAACTTTGTCAAAGTTTTCCTATAATAAACAAACATACACACACTTGTAATTTTGATACCTTAAAAATGTAATCACAAAATTTATTTCAAATTATCAAAGCTATATTGTAAGTGTTTACATAATTTAAATGTAATATTTGATTTTAATACTTTATTAATCTTTTCTGAATGTTATCTTTTTATATAAAACAATAAAATATGTATTTTCTACAGTAAGTAGTAGTAACAAAATGAATAAAAAGTACATAATAAAAATGAAGAATGTAAAAAACTACAATAAATTTAACATAAATAAATTTATTTATTCTTTAAAAATAGAAAAACACACACAAACACAGAAAGTATTTAGTATTTATTTGGAGTACAAATTAGTTCGGTTTGTTTTTTGTGTTCAAAAATGCATTAATTATAAAACAAAATGAATGAACAGATTAATTAAAGTATAGTCCATCATTGGTTACTACTTTTTACCATCTCTCAGGCAATTTTAGAATTCCATCTCGAAAAAATGACTCGTTTTTGGAGGCGATCATCTTTTGGAAAACGGATCGAACTAATTTATACTCCTAATAAATTAACGACACCTTTTATCTCCTTATGTGGAGCATAGGACGTCTATAGACCTCTTTTGTCCGAGGCCTATATTCGTTTCTCGAATCAGATAGTTTTTCTGATTTGTGGGTGATTGGTCCACAGAATCCTACCTCAGTTAGATATTAGAGACAAATATCTACTGATATGTATACTACTGATGTATAGGACCTACAGTTTTTAACGCCGAATCCGAAAGGCGCTGATGATCATAGATCTTTTGATCACCAGGTGGAGCCATTTTTTGGCTCATTAAACGCGAAAAATCATCGCGTTTGGGCGCACGTGGGATTGAACTCGGGTCTACAAATCGCGAGTCAATCGCACAGAGCGGTGAGCCACTCGACGCCACCACTCCTAATAAATAAAAGCAATAAAATGCATTTAAAAGAAACAAATATAAAAAATATCATAATTTTAAAATCAGGAATAATATTATATCTGCCTTATACTAACTGTACTTACAGATATATTAATTTAATAATTTTAAAAAAGTTTCTATTTCATTTTTATCTTCTTTAGAAAGATTATGATGTTATTAACTGATTCAGAATTTCTCAAGCAATCAATAATTCAATAATATAGATAAATTTAATCGATAATAAACATACAGATGATTTATAACGCGTGTAATTTTAATTGTTAATAATCACTTTTTTATTTAAAAAAAAAATATATAAAAAAGTTTGTTTTAATATATTAAAGTAAGTTTTAATAAAAATCGTATATTTATATAATATTTTAATATTTCTTCATAAGAAACTATAATATACATGTGTATATTTAAAAAATGAAACTAAAATAACTTATAGCAAAAACTTTTAAAAACAAATCTATAATATAATATTAAATACTCGTAATATAATTTTTATTGAGTACAAAACGTGATGTACAGTCGTGATATATTTCTATGAAACATAATATTTTTAAAACTTGTTCTAAAATTATTTACGATTTGAACGATATAAAAGAAACTTTTGTGCAGTGTTACAGTTGAAAATTATTCTACCTCCACGATTACTCAGACGGTATCGGCTGCAAGATTTCAGATATTTGATTTTTGTTTTAATTTCCATCGACATATTCTGCAAAAGTACGAAAATGGGCAATATGTGTGCAAACATGTTATCTATATATTTAATAATTACATTTGTGTCAACTTTTATCACGATTGTAATGACTGAATCACACATCATAGATCTTCCTGCTAGAAAACCCACTCCCTGTCCTCCAGGTTTTAAGCTTGCTCATGGAATATGTCGCGAAAATGTCGGTTAACGGTAAGTATAAATTATTTAAAACATTTTATAGTAATTGCTTTTTAAACTTTTTAAACTGTACAATTATATATTTTACATTTTTTATTATCATATTTTCAATGATGTAACTGTTTATTATTTTCTTAATTGCTATGTGCTTTAAATAATTGCTGTATTATTATTGACAATTTTTAAAAGATATAAGTTTATAAATTAATAATAAATATATATATATATTTAGTAATTATTTTATATACTTTATAGTATATATTATACATACATATAACATAGAAGAGTAGTTTGATAAGTAACTTGGTCCACATAATAATAGAGAGTCACAGCGACACTAGTATATGTGATCTAAAATGTCCTTTCTATTATAAATAAATAAATATTTTATGCTTACAAATCGTCCTGACAATTTGTTGTTTGACAATTACTTAAAGAGTAATATTTCAATAACACATTTAAACCGTTTCGTTTAACAAAAATTGACAAAACTGCAATTTGAAACGCTTTCGCATCCAGCTTATTCACTCAATCTAGCGCCCTCGGATTACCACCTGTTCCAAAAATTCAAGACTGTTCTGAGTAGATAAAAATTTGAGTTAGAAATGAAAATAATCATACATGTGGTTAACGAGTATTTTGAGGGCTTCGGAGGCTTACTTTCATGAAAATATCGCGAATTTGGAAAGATGTTCGAACAAGTGCGTTTAACTTCGAGAGGACCATGTTGAAAAATAAACTATTTTACAAAATTCGAATTATTATCTCTAATATCAAACCAAGTTACTTGTCGAACCACCCTCGTATATAAAATTTGTTTCTGCAAAATATTAAGGTGTGAGGTCTGATCTACAATTGCATAAATGTATTATAGTTGAATGTAAATGGTCGTAGTTGTAAAAATTCACCAACCACAGTCCAATATCCTTCTCATATAGTATTCAACTGTGATTGGTCAATTCTTACAACTGCAACTACGTTAACAGATCGAGCTTTTTATGTATCTATAATTTCTATAATAAAAGAATTTTTTTAATGTAAAAAATGGAAATTTTAATGTAGTAATATTATAATGAATTGTCAAAAAATTTATTATATATTAATATAATATAATCGTTATTATACTATTGTATATTAATATTAATTTTTTATTTGCAGGAAAACTTGATGGCAATGCATTTGGGTGACAATGAATTCAAAGCAATCCTTCAATATACTTCTAACAATGTTTGTTCAATATAAAAGGATCTAAAACTAATGTAGTTACATTTCACATTTATAAAATTATAAATGAAATTATAAAAATAAGTATTATAAACTTATGACTTGAAATAAACTACTATAAATACATGTTATCGAGTTTTACTTTTAAGCTTGCAGTTTTATTATATTTATATTTAAAAAATTAACTTTGTCAAATGTTTCGTATAATAAACAAACATACACACGCTTGTAATTTTGATACTTTAAAAATGTAATCACAAAATTTATTTCAAATTATCAAAGTTATATTGTAAGTGTTTACATAATTTGAATGTAATATTTGATTTTAATACTTTATTAATCTTTTCTGAATGTTATCTTTTTATATAAAACAATAAAATATGTATATTCTACAGTAAGTAGTAGTAACAAAATGAATAAAAAGTATATAATAAAAATGAAGAATGTAAAAAACTACAATAAATTTATCATAAATTATTTATTTTTTAAAAATAGAAAAACATATAGTTACGGAAAGTGTATTTCGTATTTAAATAAAAGTAATAAAATGCATTTAAAAAAAAAAACGAATACATTAAATATCATAGTTTTAAAATCAAGAAACCATGTATTATATCAGCCTTATACAAACTATACTTACAGATTTATTAATTTGATAATTTTAAAAAAGTTTCTATTTCCTTTTTACTTTCTTTAAAAAGATTAAAGATATGTTATTAAGTGATTCAGAACCTCTCAAGCAAACATTATTCAATAATATAGATCAATTTAATTGATATAATGTTATATAATAATTTTTAAAAACACAATTGTAATATAATATTAAATATTCGTAATATAATTTTTATTGAGTATAAAACGTAATGCACAGTCGTGATATTTCTATGAAACGTATTACTTTCAAAACTTGTTTTAAAGTTATTTATGATTTGAACGATATAAAAGAATGCAATACAATCGTATGTGTAATACATTATGTGTAATACAGTTATATGTGCAATGCTGTGTGTACAATACAGTCGTGTGTGCAATGCGCTATGCGTACAATATTATCGTATGTAAACGAGATCTTAAGAAATCTTTTTTATAGATAATCGAGACTTCCTTGCATGCATATACTTTTGAAAACATTTTTCTGTTTTTCTTCAAACTACAATATTTTTCATTTTTGATATTGTGTGCTCGAGTAACAACGACAACATGTATAATATTTCTAAATTTGTTAAATTATTACAGAACTAGAGTACTTATTTGTTTAATATATAAAGAGGTATACAGTGTCCCATTTCATAATACTACTTTAGGCATGCAAATATGAGGATCTTAAAGAATACGTAATGAGAAAAAATATTTCAGATGAAAGTGAAACAGTTTCAAGAAAGACATTGTATTTTGGATATGTTGTTCTTTTTTTTTTAAGTAAAGTCACCAAAAAGATATAGAGATCATTTTCACTTCTTTAAGTAGATCATACGATTTTTTTATCACTAACATTTATTGCATATTTATTTACTATTCCATTAATATTAATTTTTATTACAAAACTATAATTGCTGAATTAAATATCATTTAAACATTTTTCATGAAAGAAATGCCCTCTTGGTTAACTATCGAATTACTTATTTACAAGAATTTTACAAGAGAATTTCTGTATAAAAACTAATATATCCTATATATTATTATTTTTCTTTTTTAAATATTCTAACGTTATTACAATGTTACACCTTTTTGGCCAAGTTTTATTTAAAAAAATAGTTTATTATTTAAAAGTAAACTTGAATAATCGATTACCTGTTTTCAACAATAATCTTCTAACGAGTTCCTTACACCATAAAGTTTTCCTCCATATCAGCCTCACGTTTTGTTCCTTGTGATACAAGGTGTGCAGATGTATGTTAGAATTATACCGCCGCCCAAGACTAGAGCAATCATAGCCAAAGTCGTCCATATGTTTGAGCTCGAAGTGACGCGGGTTGGCACCAGCTTTTTTATTGTGGGCAATTCTGCAACTTCTTCGGTTGTCAAACCCCATCTTCTGGTCTTAGCGATCAGGGATCTCAAGCGTCGCGACGCCTTCTCGCAGGACTTCTTCGATGTCCGCTTGGATAAGCCGTCTAAACAATTCTCGAAGTGTCCCATAATACCGCGACGTGTCTCATTCTTGAGTCAATTCAAGCTTAGCAACAAGTTCCAATCATCGACCGAAATTGTCGAGAAGGGCCAGAATCAAGTAATGGACGCGTAAATCGACGTGCGAGTCCTATCGTTTTCGTCCAATGCTATATCATAATTTTGCGCCATTTTCAAATATATCAAGGAAAATATATTATATCTGAAATTTAAACAGTCTTCTTAATTTATGCTGTACCTCACTTTGAAGAAGAATCCATTTCGTCCGATAAATTATCATTGTAGAGACTGGTGATGCGATCTTTGTTTCGACAGATTTTATTGATCATTATGAGAATTCTTGTGTTGTCGTTTTTGGCATAATTATTCTAATAATGCCATTATCTTTGGTACATTCATCATTGTTAAACAAAAGCGTTAGTTTTATAGAATGTTGAAATATCACTCTTATACACTTTCGCGCTTAGCAATTTGCGTAACTTCATTTTCTAGCATTTTTAATACTTATTCTTTATGAGGAGCAATGTGGTCCAAACGATTATCTAGAATAATGTTAAAAATATAATATGTCAGTATATAACATCTAGAAATAAAACACGCAATGTTGTTATGCAGTAACTCAATAAAACGACGTAACGAGAAATTCAGAAAATAATTAATATTACAATATTAATTCTCTAAAAAAAATTATGTAAATTAATGAGCAAAATTTTCTCATCAAAATTTAAATCTCGAATAAATGAACGAGATTAATAAAAACTCCAATAAATGTTTAAACCTGCAAAAGCCATATAAACATCATAATATAATCCAGAATTCTTGTAGTGCATATCATGAAATAAATTATTATTTCATAATTCGGATAACACGAGTTTCTGTATATTAAAACTCTGTGTAATGCTATTCGCACGCTGTGTGAGCGCAAACACTCCATCATCCTCTCTCGTCTTTTTGCGCAATTGAATAACACAGCCATTAATTTGCACGTCGATCCAAACCAATCGGCGAGTCGATGAAACCCGGACCGCTTTTAATTCTCCTTCGCACGACCGGGCATGAGGAAATTGTAATTGCCCGGCTCCATGAATAATGCAGGGCGAAGAACCTTTCGCGCGAAGAAGGGAGACAAGAAAGAGAAGGACCGGTAAAAAGTGCCCGATTCACAGAGGCCGCGGAAGCGAATTAAGTTCCGCTTTAAGTCGATCGCCGCCGCGCCGCAGGATTACATTGTCCCGTAATCGCTCACACGCGGAACGCCGCGGATTGCGTTACATAAGCGAGCTTTTCGCTCTCTCGTGCCTCCTAAGCTCATGTTCCCTTTTCTCACGCCACGTGCAATTTCAAATTACATGACGATCGACAAACTTTAAATTATATTTATGCCCAATTCATGGAGCGCGCGTGTTTACCGCCACGGCCAACTGAGGATTTACGACCGACGAGATGGGTTCGTCTATTTTCCGATGTTTACGTGCCGAGTGTACCGGTGTTACTCTCGCTGACGTATGGAAGCTCGTTCTCGTACACTAGATAACTTAGCCTCGCTCGACATTGACTTCGACTCCTTAAAACTCGGCGAGTACCTGAGTTACACGTTAAAAACTATTAAAAACTACTAATTGTGTGATTGTTATTCGTCATATATTTTTGGCGAAATCAAAAACAAGGTATACTTTTTAAAAGTTATTATTTACGTTATGTATTGTATATGTATTAATTAATTTTTTGAGTTCATCTATGAAAGAGAAATTTGAATGAATAAGAACTTTTAATTTTATCTCTTGCATTACTTTTGTGAAAGTTGTAAGAAGATGTAAATTGAATATTATTTTATCTCCCAATAAACTAATATTACAATTTTGTTTACAATAAAAACAAATTTTTTTAATTCAACATTTAACAATCTGTAATCATAAATTTTATCAAATTTCTTTAAACAATAAAAAATAAGAATTCTTTGAATATCTTTATAACAATATTGTGTAAATTATGTTTTTAAATTTTGTAACTTGAATTGTTCGCTTTTCTTCTTTTGTAATATTTTTGAAAAACAATTCCGCTCTCTTTCTTTCAGGAAACGCATCGAATGTGTATGAGAACGAAAAGGAATGCACGATAATGATACGTTTTCTGTTACAGAGATAAGACAATTTCACTAGTTTCTGCAACGAGACGTTATTCGAGACAATTACGTCACGAAAAAGTGGGCTAAGTACAATCCGCGCTAATAAGTGCGCGACTTGTTTTCATTCGACTCAGTTTTCGCAGCAACGGAAGTGTATTTTCAAACCTGAACTATATTTTCACGCCATTTGTCTAAAGCTCAGTTTATGACCTGGAAATAATATCGTCCACGTTCCACGTCATGTCAGAAGCTTATCGCAGTTTTGCTCGACACTTGAGTTATTTATATAACCTCTATTGGTTCGTATTAGCTTCTTATAGTATAAGTTTTTTATGTTAGTACATGGTATTTCGAAGTTACTAGGTCAAGAGATAACTTTATAACAGAACTCGTAAAACAATTTTAATCAACATAGATTCGCGTACTAATCGTCAGTCGGAATATTTAGCTTTTTTTGTAAGTTAAATTTTCTGGGGTAAGATTATACATGCATATTATAGAATTACTAATATTTCGACAATTTCAAATATCCATATAAGTTTATATAATTAGCATGCTTATGTTTATTAAAATTCTTTTCACTTCCATCACTTTTATTAGCTAACATTATTGAGATATACAAGTTAAATTATACATAATATTGCATAAATTTTGACTATCATTTTATGTTCAAAGTTATTTTTCACAATACATAAATTATATTGAAGGAAAATAAAAGGAAAGGAAAAGAAAATTATATTGACAGGAATCATCATGTATTCTAAAATTATTCTTTATACAATGAAGATTTATTGAATGTGATTCTATATAATATAATCACGATTTTTCATATAGAATTAAGTGTAGAGCGAAGCTAAGTTATATATAACAACTTCAACGTTTATTCAATCTAATTCTTATTATGTTAATATATTATTATGTTAATAGATTGCATTATACAGAGTGTTTAATCAAGTTTTCGAGAAGAAATGAACACTATGATAAGAAGTAAAATTTTGAAAACCTTTTCAATAATGATCCGAATTAATAATCTTCTCACCTATTTTGTACAACTAAATTAAAGATATACAAAGAAAATAATAAGCAGTTTTCATAAAGTTTGTATAAACAGTATATTTTTAATTATTCTACGCGCATGCGCGAATATTAATTATTCAAATATTATTTTAAACTTTTTAAATAAATATACAAAAGAATATAACAATACTTTTATAAATAAATAACATTCGAAAATTTTTAGTAGCACTCAAATTCCATAATTTCACTTATTTAATGGATAATTGTTACTTAAAGGAAAGTTTTATAAGATAACCGGACCCTATTATTACCCATTATTCTCTACTCATTGTTAAAGGATAATTACAGTATCCATGGTAAATTCAACAGATAGCACTAGTAAGTCGTGTAGGTTGTCCATCTTACTTGATTGTATATATCAGTTTATTGTTCAGTCTGTTATTGTTCTGTTACTGTCAGTAAAGCAAAATGCAGAACGTCGAAGTCATGATGTACTATTTGGTAGTTGAATTACTGCTTTCTCTAACTACAAAGAAATTGTTATTAATTTCCGTTGTTCATTTTATTGTTACTTTATGTACTTATATTTTACAACACTGTATTTAGTTTATATTTTTATTGTTTTTAATGTTTGGTTTATAACCAAATAGAGGAAACTCTTTGCAAGATTGATTTGATATAATCAATCCTTAGGCATACTGAGTGCATACATTGATTGTAACGTTTTTTGATTCTTTTATTTAAGACTATGAAATTTCTAATTTATTTGCTAAACATTGAGGAAATAAATAGATAAGTCAATTGTTTTAAAAATAATTCTTTTGGAATTCTTACATGTCAATTAAATATTTATAATTTATCTTATAAAAGTATAACATTGAATCACTTTATTTTCTATTTCTCTAATTTAAAAGAAGAGCAAATTATATACCTGTTACATCATATTAATAAATATTACACTATATAATATAATATATACCCGTAAATATTAGGAAATATCATACTTTTTTTTAATACTCAGCAATGTTTCCTCTTTTAAATCATCAGTTTTCAATTTTGTATTCAAAAAATGAAAAAGATCACAAAGATTAGGTAGATTATCGTACAGGGTCCGGTTACTTTATAAACCTGTTACTAGAACATACCTTTTTCTAACACTTATTGCAATTCATTGTCAGCAATTGTCTCTGACAAATATATTTGTCACTTAAACAATTCATATCGATCAAGCACATGATCTTCAAGCATTTTTCATTTTATTTGCAAATTTGCATGTATGATAATTATCATTAAAATTTATTTAAAAACCGCATTTCTTTTAAATTCTATCTTTAAATAGATATTTAATTATCACAGCATAATTAAATTAAATAAGTACATCATAAGTAAAAATGAAAACAAATAGTTTCTTTTAGTTTTACAAAAGTTGTCCAACTATAATATCGCGTATGCCTCAGCCACGTTTCAGCTTTTTGCTTGAAAAATATACAAGACAGAAACTCTCGATTGTTCATCAATCTTTATATACGAATATTAAGAAATATACGTGTTATTTCGTAGCCACGTGACACGAGATTTCGCATACGAGCACTGTATGTTGCGTCTCCGACGGACATCGCGGCGCTTACTGCCGGAGCGTCGAATATCCACGACCCTTTATGCGGCAGAACCACCCCCGATTACCCCCGGACACTCTGCTGCCGGTCTTCCTCGACGCAGCGGCGACGCGGCGCGAAGCTATCGAGAGACTGTATATGTACATTGGATCTTAATGCAGCTATGTTTGTAGAACTAGATATCCTGTGTTGGCAAAGCCGAAATTAAGGCCGATATTAATCCTTTGACCACCCTTGCTACTCTTTACGGTCACCGACTTACAAATTTAGAAGATATATGTATATTTCAGATATTGAAATCCATTTTGTGTACAACACTATTCATCCAACATGACTGTTTCACATCTTTGCTTTAAATATTATTTTATCCAATTTTATTTTAGAAATAACGTTTATTTAAATAATTTATATAGAAATATGTGTAAGATTTAATGTAAAATATACATTGTATTTTAAAAAATTAATAATTTTTGTATCTAAGGATACGCGTTTTAATAATATATTTTAACAATATATCTTAATAAAAATATTCAATACTATAAATTCTCTTTTTAATGTTAAATATATATAATCATTAAATATTGATATTACATATGTATATAAAATCTTATATTTGAAGCTATTATATATAATACGTATTTCAGTTTTCTTAAAACCTGCGATCCTTGTTATAATAAAACGCACTTTAATGGAATAAACATGTAAAACTAATTGCGTTTTGCATATTATCTTGTATAGACCGAAATAATTACGTACATATTTGTACTCCATCGGACTACG